GAGAAATTGCTCTGCAGACATGGTGTGGGTTACCTAGGCAGACCCTGGAGGCCAGCTCCTGGGTCCCACTGGAAGGATCATTTGTGGGTCTGCAGATCTAAAGTGGGTATGGTGGTGATGCCCTGGGGGTCAGCAGTTCTGGATTGGTTTTTGTTGTTGTTTTGAGACAGGGTCTCCCATAGCTCTGGGCAGCCTTGAACTCACTTTGTAGCCAAGGATGACCTTGAATTTCCCATCCTTCTGCCTTTACCTCACAAATGATATACAGGTGTGGACCTCCCTGTCTGGGTTAGGGGTCAGTAGCTACTATAAATGGTAAGAAGCCACCACCAAGCAGCAGAACTTTATATTCTCAGTATGGGCTGGCGTGGAAAAGGTGGTTCTGGGGGTGGAGGGACAATAGGGACCCTGCAGACCCATCTGATACTCTCCTGCCCTCAGTCCTACCCTCCACTCCCCACCCTCATCCTCCCTCTTCCCCTTCTTGGTTCCTTTTCTGGTACAGGAAGTTAAGCTGCTGGTCAGCATTAATCCATAGTGGCAGGCAGGGCTGGGGACTGAGGATTAAGGAGGTGGTTATGTGCACTGTGCCAATACACCCTGGCTCCTATGTGGCAGGGTAGGACATGCCTCAAGGCTCATCCCCCTCAGAGGTCCATTTCTTTGGTCCTCTGGGTCAGTTTTCATCGACACCCCAAAAGGAAATGGGTTCAGGGATATTGGCAATAGTCTGATGCCCAGCAGTTCATGGGTTCAGAACAATTCCAGCACCTCACCCTCCACCCATTGGCAGCTAAAGGGCCCCTGGCCTTGGTCTCCAGAGGCAAAGGCTGATGGGAGGAGGGCCAAGTTACAAAATGAATATATGCATGCATGTCTTCGCGTTAATCACCGGAATGCATTTTTGGAGAGGTGAGCGGAGCGGAGCTGCGGGACCCCCATTAATGTTAACTTTATTTCAGTAATGAGATGCCAGGTCTGGAACAATCACTGTGGCTAATACACTGTAATCACAGTGATGAAGCCTGCATGCTGAGAGGGGAGGGTGAGGTGCTGGGGATGGGGGGGGGGTCTCAGAGCAGGGGGCCACCTGACGTGGAAGAAGTGTTGGGATCGTGACAGAGAGACTCTGGAGACAAGCCTTAGTAGGACAAGGGTCTGCAGAGAGTAGTGGCCAGGCCAGGAGGGCTGAACCCAAGTGATGAGGGCCATCCCAGCTCACAGATCCTGGACACTAGGCTGAGACCCATTCACAGGCATGGCCAGAGGAAAAACCTCAATGGAAGGTCTCAGGGTCCCTAGTCACCAGAGAGTGTGCTCTGGCAATGATATGAATGTGCAGGTAAACAGGGTGCTGCAGAAGGTGCTGGTACCCAAAGGTAGCAGTGGAGGGAGCCAGCAGTCAGCAGGTACTGTCACAGAGTCCACCCAGGGCGGTGGTTTAGGAGGCCAGATCACCTAAACCACAGACACAGCTATGCATTAAAGCTGACTTGGCTAGCCTGAGAGAGGAGTGTGAAGGGAAGAGAGGAAGTTACGCACACAAGCCGGGTTCTAGGGGTCATGGGTAGCCACAAGGAAACCAGCAATGCGCCCAGAAAGCTCCATGTTCCCCGAACTCCTGGTGACCCAAACCCCCACTGTTCCAGGCGTTGACGTGAGTCTAGTGGCCAAAATGATTTTTTTTTGTTGTTTTTAAGATTTGTTTTTGGTTATTTTTAATTTCGCCTGTGTGTATGCGGCATACGTGGGTATGTGCAGGCACCACAGAGGCTTGAGGCACCAGGTTCCCTGGGCACTGGAGTTGCAGACACTTGGGTGCCACCCAATAAGAGTGCTGGAAATTGAACTCTGGTCCTCTGGAAGCGCAGCCAGTGCTTCTAACCCCGAAACCACCTCTCCAACCCCAGTTTCCAAGTTCGTGTGCCTCTTTGCAATAAACCGTACTAATTCATTAACAAGTAATTAATTATAGGGAAGGACATAGTTCATTAAAGGGGAAACACAGAGGGACCTGAGGTGTGCCATGCCTCCCCTGTGACCTGACTCTAGGTGGGCAAGAAGAGCTGAGGTGAGGTCCCCAGTTCCCCTTTATGGGTCATTAATACAGTCCCTACCTCTCCCAAGTTCATAAATGCAGGCTTTTCCAAGCATGCTCTCTTAACTGAATGAAGTTCAGATGGATTAAGGGTGGGAAGTGTTTCCCCGGCCACTGCAGTCTTTCCCATTCCTACAATTTCCTCCATTATGTTTTCTGACATCACCGCCAGCCATCCTTAACTCCTGGCAGAAATCTAGTGTGTCTCCAAGAATGGTCTGCAGGGGTCCCCCAAGTGCTGGTGTGAAATAAAACGGTTTTTAGGGTGGGGTGCAGCTCAGTGGTAGAGTGCTTGGCTAACATGAAGGAAGACATGGGTTCAGTTGGCAGCACTACAACATACACACACACACACACACACACACACATATGCACGCACACACGCATGCGCGTGCACACACACATACACACAGGCAGGCATGCATACACACAGCTTCCTAGGCTCTGCCCAACCTTCCCACAAAGCACGTCCAGGCAAAGCCTATAACTGTCCAGGAGCCGCACTACAGCCAGTACCCCAGGTTGCTTAGTGCCCCTGTCTGAGGACTGCTGTGTAAGTAAGTTCTCACAGGGGTCTGGGGCACGGGATATAGATGTGTGTGACCAGCCAACATATTCCGCAGACCCATCCTGTTCCTAACCCAGTGACTGTGCTCCACTGGCTGTTCAGGAGAACGACCAGATTCCTACATCCAGCAGCGGCTAGGCTATCCTCACCCACAGAGCTCCACTCTGTGCCCCGGAGATAGGGCCAGGCACAAATGTGGGTCACTGCCGTGGTGACGCTTATGTTCCAATGAAGATACTAGGCATACTGGAACACACCTGTCAGCCCAGTGTCAAGGCCAGACAACCTGGTGAGATCCTGTGTTCAAAGGAAGGAAGAAAGAGAGGAAGTGGGGAGAGGGAGGGAGGGAGGGAGGGAGGGAGGGAGGCATGGGGGGCCCCAGAGCAGTGAGTGACTCTCAGCAGACCTTTCAAGACTCCCTCTGGCCCCGGTGAGGGGAATAGTCTGTGGGGAGCCGTGGGAGAGCCTGGGAGCAGGCTGAGCCGCTGGTATGACTTAGGCAAGGTGTGGGGGCTCATGGGAGAGCAGGAGCCAGGGAAGGAAGTGCCTTGGTGAGCTCCCACCTCCCCTCCAGGAGATTTTACAAGGGGCAGAAGAGTCCACAGGCTCTGCAGTTCTTTCCAGGGGGTGTGTCAAGTGTGTCCCTGAAAAGGGGACTCCTAGCCCACTCCTCACCCTAACTAACCCCATGATTCTCAAGCAGGGACAACTGCATCCCACGGATGACAACCGTCACCCGGGTGACCTTGTTTGTTGTCCAGATGGGAAGGAGAGGTGCTGATGGCATCTTGGATTGGGAGGTGCCTCCTTATCCCAGGCTGGCCAGGAGAGTCCCAACCACTAAGGACCATCAGGCCCAATGTCAGGCCCAGCATCCTGCCTTAAACGGGGCTCCTGCCCGCTGCCAGTTCCTCTCCCACCTGGCCTGGTCCAGCCACTTCAGTTAATTCAGCAGGTACTTCATCAGATGGCTGAGGCATCCTCCCTGACGCACCTTGTGGTTTAGAGACACATTAACTCCATCTCACTGGCTACCGACAGTGACACAGATCAGCTGCTTCTGTCATCGCAACAACCACATGAGAAACACGAGTGTTGCGGACAATTCATTACCCAGCTGTTAAGAGCCACAAAGCGGGCACAGAGCTCCTCCCCCCACTCCGTGCCCCGCCCCACCCCGCCCCCATCAGGCCGGCGCTGGTGAGTGCTGACCCCGCAGGGTGATAACGCGGCTGCAAGCCCTCTCCTCTCCCTAACCTTGACACGCCAGAGCCCAGCCTCCTGCTTAACAGGCTGCAGATCCAAAGGGCAGGGTCTGGGACAACAAATGGACAGGTTAATTTGTTTTCTGCCCCAGGCCCATCAGATACGCACACACATAGAACCAGCCACCACCGCAGAGAGAACGACTCTAACACGGCAGGTGCTGAGAATCGCATTCCACGGAAGGAAATAAAAGTGACGTCATTACAGAGATGCGTTTATTGGGGTCGGTTGGCTTAAAAACCAGGTTCTTTCCCTCTGCAGGTTAGTTCTTGCAGGCTTAGACCTTCAAGCAACAAAAATATCACACTTCCAGGTGGTATCTTTAAGGAGAGCTAATTAGGGCTCTTGGCACTTAGAACATGAAACATTTTACAATTTTCTGAAAAGCAATTTGCCAACATTAGCTAATTAAAACACCCGGCCTTCCACAGAGGGGTAATGAGAAGAGAGTGGTATCCTCATTTCTAAGCATCTGTTCTAGGGTTAAAAATCCAAATTCCTGTTGTTCCTACTGCTTGGTCAAGGTGCTCTGAAGGCTGCTCTTTGTTGCTCTGAGCAATGTGCCCAAGAGCATTTAAGGAAAGATTGTAGTTGGTTTTTTTTTTTTTTAACTCTGTTGCTCTTTGGGGGTTCTGCCACCCAGCTCCCAAATAAATACACACAGAGTCTTATTTTTTCTTATGAATGTCCGGCCTTAGTTTGGCTTGTTTCTTGTTTCTAGGCAGCTTTTCTTAACTAATTAGTCCATCTACCTTTTGCTCTGGACTCCTACTTTTTTTCTATTTCTATGTCTCTTTACTTCTTACTCCATAGCTTGCTGTGGGACTGTGGGGCTGGGGGGGGGGGGGCTGGCACCTGGTTTTCTTCTCTTGCTCCTCTATCTTCTGTCCCCAGATTTCTCCTTCTATTTATTCTCTCTGCCTGCCAGCCCTGCCTATCCTTTCTCCTGCCTAGCTATTGGCCGTTCAGCTTTTTATTAGACCAATCAGGTGTTGTAGACAGGTAAAGTAACACAGCTTCACAGAGTTAAACAAATGCAACATAAAAGAATGCAACACAGCCAGGCAGTAGTGGTGCACACCTTTAATCCCAGCACTTGGGAGGCAGATACAGGTGAAGCTCTGTGAGTTCAAGGCCAGCCTGGTCTACAAAGCAAGTTCCAGGACAGCCAGAGCTGTTACACAGAGAAACCCTGTCTTGGGGAGGGGGGGGGTAAGAATGCAACACATCTTTGTATCATTAAACAAATGTTCCACAGCATAAATAAATGTAACACATCTTAAAATAATATTCTACAACAAAAGATCCCTGCTTCCTTCACATTTGGAATCTATAGTAGGGACACTATAGAAGGTTCTTGGACATAGAGGCTGGTCTACTAAGCCAGAGTCCGCCAAACTAGGGTTGAAGGCTGAATTTGGCCCTTGGCTTGTGTTTATAAATAAAGTTTTATTGGTACATAACCAGACTTGTTTGTTTGCACATTGACTTTCATGATTCTCAGTGTCCACAAAGCTGAACCCATTTACAGCTGAAGGTATTTCTCCTTACAGAGAAAGCTTGCTGGACTTGGTGCTAAGCTGTGTGCATCTGTCTGACCATGACTTTCCAACCCAAGCAGTCCTCAGCTGTGACTTGGGGATATTATTAGATGGAAGGCAGGAAAAAGAACCTGATAAAAAGCAAGGGTTGCCTTCATTGACTCACCCTCCACAACACACTTGAAGTGATGGTACAGGGGTCTAAGAAGCTGGGAGGGAAGAAAGGGCAGGAGTTGGCTGTGTGTCTCATCTCCTTTTCCTAACAGCTCAGCCCCGGCACATCACCTCACCACTTCCGGCTCGTTACCTTCATGTGTAAAATGGGACACTGCACCTGCTTGATGGGGTGTTTTACTAAGTCTTTATAAACCCTGTTGCAGCTCTGTGGGGGTGCATTAGTGAGAGGTTTGGGATGTGGGACCTGGGTACCTCTGTCAGTGGCTGTATAGAGACCCCAGGACTGCTGGACACGTCTGTGAGGGAGGAAAAGCGGCATGCAGACAACTAGCTAGAAGCTCTCGAAGATGCTACAGGAATCCGATGACATTCAAAACAGGCTTGGGGGCCACGCTCTGAGACAGCTCCCAGAATATAATGTTGCGGGGGAGAGCATTTGGAGTCAAGAATCCCATGCAAATTGGAGTCAAGTAGCTACCCCCTTAGGACTGTCCATTGAAAAAACATATGGCCACTTACTCATGAAAATCACATGGCACTCAACACAGCACACAACATACAAGAAAAGAAAAAACAGAAATAGAACATCAACACTAAATTCCTAGGCTTCCGAAAACACAGTTTTAAAAAAATGTAAAGGGGCAGCCCATAGAAAGAATATATTCGTAAACCTATAAACACATAAGGCATTCAACTAAAAAAATAAAGACATCTGGGGAAGGACGGGTGTGGAATTCGAATGAGAATGTCCCCCCTCCCCCACCATAGGCTTGAGTATTTGAACCGCTGGATCCTCCGTTGGTGGTGTCGGAGGTTGGGGAGTGAGGGGTTAGCTGGTGTAGACTTGCTGGAGGAGGTCCATCCCTGGGGGCGGGCTTTGAGATTAAAAGCCTCTTGCCCCTTCCAGTTCACCCTCTCTGCTTTATGAAGACAAGAGCTCTCAGCTTCCTGCTCCTGCCACCATGCCTTGCTAAGATAGACTCTCATCCCACTGGAACCAAGAGCCAAATTGAACTTCTTTTTCTGTAAGTGGGCATGATTTTTTTTTATCACAGCAACAGAAAAAATCACTAACACAGTGGTGCATGCCGGTAATCCCATCATTTGGGAACTGGAGCCAAGAGGATCCAGAGTTCAAATCCAGCCTCAGCTACAGAGCAATTTTTGAGGCCAGTCTGAGCTATAAGGGTGCCATGGATTTTAGATTGACTTTGAAATTCTGGCAGGTCCACCCAAAAGAGAAATGTGGAGTGACTGAATTGGACCCAGCAATCCCAATGCTAAGGATCCCCAGGAAAACTGAAACCCATAGGAAACCACACATGAATTTCAAAGCAACGTGATTCATAGCAGCCCCAAAGCAAAAGAGATCCAAATGTCCACCAACAGAGGAACTATTGAACAAGTAAGTCATGGAGGCACACTGCAGTGCCACACTCCCAGGGAGTCCCAGCTTCAGCACCTTTGATGTTGGACCCACATTCTTAGGGGTTGGCTGACCTGAGCACTGGGAGATGCTGGGCAGTGGTGTGGTCTCCACCATCAGATGCCAGGGGTACTCCTGAAATCATATTTGGCAAGCAAAAAACATCTTCAGGGCTGGCAAGATGGTTCAGCGGGTAAAGGCATTTGCAGCCTGAAGTCCTGAGTTCAGTCCCTGGGACTCACTCATACAGCAGAAGGAGAGCTCAGATGACTTCAAGCCGTCCTCTAGCCTCTACAATAACTCCATGTCACACACACGCGCGTGCGCACACACACACACACACACATCCACATACATACATGCACACATAAGGACATAGTGCTTAAAAAAAGCCTCCAGACATTACTGGCCACTGCACTGAGAGTCAAAGTTTCCCTCTAGTTCAACAGCTTAGGTCCATCTTTTTTTTCCAGGTCCTGGGAGCCTCCTACAATCCTAGAATACCAAGTTGGAAGGACCCTGGATGTCACTCTGTTTATACCCTTCACAGAAAGACACACTGGCCAAGATACGTAACAGATACAGAAGAGCCTGGGACGTTGAGGAGGTAGCTCTTCTCTGAATTTGGAGATCAATCCAGAAGTCAGCACCTCTGAAGACTGAGCTTAGCTACCATTGCCGCAAAGAAAGCCATACAGACTGGGCTGCTCAAACGGCGGAGTTATTTTTCTGGAGCTCTGTGATCATAAGTTTTCTCAGGTTCCACCCATCCCCGCAGTCCCTCAGCCACTTATAAAATAATCATTCAGAGGCTTATATTAATTATCAATTATGTGGACTATGGCCGGCTTCTTGCTAGCTAGCTCTTTCATCTTTAATTAACCCATTCCTATTAATCTATAAGTTGCCACGTGGCTGTGGCATTACCGGTCTGCTGGCATCTTGCTGTTCCTTAGGCAGCGGCTGGTGTCTCTCCTCTCCTTTCTTCTCTCCATATATCTGCTTAGATTTCCCACCTGCCTCTAAGCTGCCTTACCATAGGCCAATGCAGCTTTATTTATCAACCAATCAGAGCAACACATGTTCACAGCGTACAGAAAGACATCCCACAGCAGAGCTCTTAGATGGAGACGGTGGTAGGCTGGTTTCTCCTGAGGTCTCGCTTCATGACTTGCCATTGGCCACCTTCTCCCTACATCCTCTCACAGGTACTTCCTCTGTGTATGGTAGCTCAGGTGTCTCTCATTCGTCCTATAAGGACCAGTCACACCGGGTCGGGGCTTATCACGATGCTTCCTTTGAACTCAGTGGCTTCCATTTAAAAAAAAAAAAAACTATTTTAAAATCACAAGTATCTGCTTAGCCTGTGTTTATGTATAGGTGTGCCACTGTATACATGTGGAGGTCAGAAGGAGAGAAACTGTAAACATGTGGGGATCATGTGGAAGCCAGAATACCTCCATATGGTTTCTCTCCTTCCACCGTGTGGGTCCCAGGGATCGAAACCAGGTGGTCAGGCTTGGCAGCAAGCATCTTGACTTACTGAGCCATCTCATTGGCCCATCAATCATCTCTTTAAAGTCCCGCCCTCCAAACGGCCACATTCTGCAGTACCGGGTTGAGGCTGCAGTCTATGGCTTTTGGGACTCACAATTGAGCACATAGCAAGGACCACAGAACCCTAAGATGCAGCCCACTTGCTAGGGCTACCCTAAAATGCTAATGCTAACTTCCCCTTCTAGCACATTCTCCCAAATCCCTTCCTGGCAGCTGCCAGTGGAGAGAAGATAGAAGAGGAGGATGGGGAGATGGGTCAGTGGTTAAGAGCATGTCCTGCTCTTCCAAAGGACGTGGGTTTGATTTCTAGCGCTACTTCAGGTGACTGCCTGGAACTCCAGCTCCAGGGGCTCCAATGCCTCTGGCCTCCATGGGTACCTGCACTCACGAACACCATCCCCACATATACAAAGTTAAAAATACTAAAAAGTCTTCTTTTTTAAAAAGGTGGACGCTTTCGTTTAAATAATAGATGATCCAATCCCAGAGCCAAAGAACAAATTTCAGGGCCAATACCTAACCTGCTACCCTCCAGGGCTCCACTGAGGACCCCCGCTCCCCCTGCAGCAAGGGCAGACCGCTCTCCTCACCGCAGAGGGTACCATCTTGGCTGAAGTCAGGAAGACAGCGCAAACCCCCTCTGTATTATGTCCATAAAACAGAGATGAGAAGGCCTGCCTAGCTCAGGAGGGTGGGTGTCAGGGGAGTGCCTAAGAAGCCTTTTTAGCACCATGTCACCCGGGGAATGCCCACAATGTGCCTTTCAGAGACGCCTGGTCTGGAATTCCCACAAGACAGACAGTGTGTGTGAGACCTTGAGCCCAGAAGAACCAGGGAACTGGAGTCTTCCTCTACCTGAGGACCAAAAGGAGTGAGTGATTCAAACAAAGGAGGGGTTGTGTGAGTGGTCCCTTCGTATCCCTGTTCATTGTCACCCAAGTACGGCTAAGAAGATTCACCTACATTTTGTCCTGGGGTGGGGCAGAGGCTAAGAACTGGGTGGCAAGGGACAGTAGCTCCGTGCCAGTAGTGACCTGTTTCTTTCTCCCTAAGGGTCCTGGTCCCTAAAAACACCAGGCGCAGGAAGGAGTCCTGATTTGCTGTCCCATCAGCTGGCTCTCTGCCCACAGTCATTGTTTTGAGGGCATCCTGGGCAAGCCTGAGCCACAATCAACACCAGGCTCGCACTGGGAACAGAAAACCCATGCAGCTGGTGCCACCAAGTGGCACGGTCAGCAACTGCCAGCACGCTTGCCACCAGCCACCAGCGCCGAGCTGCGTCGGCTGCAGCCAAAAGCCAGGCCCTGAAGATCACGCCTGACTCACTCTGTGGTTCCCCCACAATGCTAAATCAGGTCAGCGAGCTTATTTATGTCAAATAAATCAGCAGAGCCAACTGGTGAGCCGCCTCGAGACTATTTGTCTTGGGCTAGCGCTAAGCACAGGCTGCGGGCAAAAAACCCAGGCAGGTTTGGACGTCATGGACAGAGCCCAAAGAGCTTGCCCTGAAGGACTGTCCAGATCCACACCCACCAGGAAAATTTGTGTTCCACATGGAGGAGGGGAGCTGCATATATGCCTATGGGAGACAGCACAGCTCTAAACAGAGGCTGCCCAAGAAAACAGGGAGACCTTCACATACTGAAGTCCCTGAACCTTAAAAAAAAAAACAAAAAACACCATGTGGATGAGACTCTTGCTGCAGGTGTGAGGGAGTGGGGGGAATGGGGGGAGTGGGGGGAGGTAGGGTATGGGTTGTCCCAAGCATGGCTCATCCTTCCCCATGTGGCCTATTCAGGAAGATGATGGTCCATGGAATCTTCCCTGGGCCTTTTTCTTTTTAATTTAATTTTTAATTTTTTTAAAGAATTACTTTTATTTGTATGGTGTTTTGCCTACATGTATGTAGATGCACCACAATTATGCATGGTGCACAAAGGCCAGAAGAGGGCGTGGATCCCAATGGAATTACAGATGGTTGTGAGCCACCCTGTGGGTGCCGTGAATCGAACCCAGATCCTCTGGAAGAGCAACAAGTCCTTTGAACTGCTGAGCCATCACACCTGCCTCTTTTTTTTTTTTTTTTTTTTTTTTTTTGGTAAATGCCTGCTCTTAGTGATTTTCCAGAACCAACAACATGCCCAAGAGACCTGGAGAGTGTTCTTTACTTCTTGCTCAGCCAGTCCTCAAAGATGCTGCATGCAGCTCAGCTCTGGCTTTGGAAAATGCCTGGAATTTATCTGTGAAAAACAAAAAAGGACTTCTCTCCCTCTGGGGTAAAATCAGACAAGGAGAAAGGGTGAGGACTCAATAGGAGATCATTATAACGGGCTGTAGGCTCCCATGGGCTCCACTTCTCCAGGCTGGACCATCTGACTGGGAGGAGTTGGCTGTAACTGGATAAAGTCAACCTGCCGGGAACACGCATCATAAAATAGCATGTAGTGGGATTCCGTCTCTATCTACGTACACATATAAAATATACATTTAGACACGTCATTCGGCAAAACTTCCCATTGCAGCTGCGGCTCTCCTTGGGGGAACTAGGAACCTAATCGGGCTCAACTTGATTCTGAAGGCTTGTTTTTAGGGTTTCTTTTAAGAGACAACCCTTATGCTGAGAGAGGCCCAGGGAAGGCCCTGCTCAGGAAATATGACATGCTCTGGGCCTCTCGGCTCAAGGCCACTGAGTATCTCTGCACCCGCACAGCTCTGGGCATCCCAGCCAAAAGGCCGCTTCGCTTAGCACAGGAGTGTGACAGCTGTCTCCACAGGTGCAGGGACAGCACAGACAAGCCGATGGTGCCCAGGGAAACCAGAGAAGGAAGCTGAAGAAAATGTTTGGCCAGGTTTGATCTGTCTTTGGGATGCCTCGGGGAGGGGCTGTTTTGAGGACATTTGGGGTCCGGATGGCTGGTGTCCACCTACCCTGTGAGAATCACAGTCTATAGAGGTCAATGAAGAGATATAGCTCTGGTCATGTCTGGCTCAGTGGTGGGACTGCTGGGTGGTCAGAGTCAGGATCTAGGATCAGTATGTTAGCAATCACCCCAGCTGACGACAATGAGTTTACCCAAGTTCACAGATGCCTGGGCTCCTGTGAGGTGGGTCAGGTTGCTGCTCAGAGATGTCAGACCCCTTCTACTCACATGCTGTGCACAACTGCACATGTGCACGCACACATACACACTCTCACACAAACATGCACACAGACACACATGGACAAGGCATGGGACATGTTTAGGCAACACATAGATCATCACATTTATCATTCAAATTACCAACTTCTAATTAAGGAAATATTTTATTAAACTTTGAAAACAATTTTGTGTGTGTTTCAGACAAGTGTCAGTATGAAATTCAAACTGTCCTTGAACTTGGATTTCTCCTACCTCTGCCTTCTGTATGCCGGCAATTAAACCATGTGCCACCGTACCGGGCTCAACATCTATTTTATTATCTACAAACACAGCTTAGTAGATCTGTGGGAGCCTGTTCTCGGGTTCCTCGTGGCTTTACCCAGCAGGTCCACATAGAGGATGATTAGGACCACGGGCCTGAGTGCAGGTGTCTGAGATGGTCTGCACTTGGCTGTGCTGGGGGAGGAGGTCTTTTGCTCCACCCCTTGGCATCTCTGTAAATACCCTGGGGCAGAGACAGTTGGGGCCCATTGGAAAAGGTTCCAGGCCCTCTCGAGGCTATCCTTTATTTTCTATCTGTTTATCTCCGAAATATAAATCCTTCTATCTAATATTTCCTGCTGCTCACACTCAAGAAAACTCTGGGGAGCTGTGGGGTTGGTGGGTAAACACCCCACATAGATCCATCCCCACAGGATGGAAAAAACATATTCAAGCAGTGCTCATGTACACACACACACACACACACACACACACACACACACACAATGATCACACATGCACACATATACACATACACACACAATGATCACACATACACAATCACACATGCACACATATACATACACACAATGATCACACATGCACACACTCACACGGGAGCACACACACACACACACACACACACACACACACACACACACACAGACTCTTATCTTCTTAGAACAGGCATAGCCAATGATCTAGAACCGGTTGTCTGTGACAGACTTCTTTCTCATTTAACCCACACCACACGTGGCTGCACTTCAGGTTATCTGGGTGGTTTCTGACCATGGGCATGCACTCCGTACCACACAAAACAACCTATTTCTAGCTCTGCTGTATGATCCCCCCCGGCCCCACGGGATGTAGAGTCCTGAGAAATACAACTGACATGCGCACAGAAACATCGGAACAACTGCTTCTTCTGTTTTTACTGGCAACTCGATTCTGGGGTTGCTTCTCTATTCCGTGTCAGGGTCTCATTTTGTGAAGCCCAGCCTGAGCTCGAATGCATAATCCTCCTGCCTCAGCCTCCCCAGTGTCGGGATTACAGCCCCCAGGCTATCACCACAGCCTGCTGGATCTGTTTCTCGGCAGTATTAAAGGCTGTGTCTTTGTTTCTCAGTTCTGGACTCCCAGAGGGAACGACCCTAGGTTGCACCTCTTTAGGGGACTGCTGAGGCTCAGCTCAGAGTCAAGGGGCGGTGGCACTGATGTGACCACCCTGCTCACAGCATGGCGGCAGACCAAACCACCTTCTTCGAATCTTTGATGAGGGACTGGAGAGGGATGCTTCGGACTGGAGAGGGATGCTGCAGACGGAGCGATGTTGGTACCCAGAGCTGCAGTCACACCAGGATGGACCGTGTCAAAACCGCCCAGGAAGAACCTTGCCTGGACGGTGACACATTGGTGACAGAGGCATACTTCCAACAGGGGAGAACACTGTCCTGGTTAGCTCTCCTCTGGCATGTTTCAATCCTTCTCCTGTGCGCTCGGACTATGCCGTCTTAAGTAGAATGATTCCCTGAGGAATCTGCAGGGACGCCCCCCCTTCTCCCCCCCCCCCACCTCATCCCACCCCCACTCCACCAACAGGTCACAAACTTCCAGCTTGTCCTGCAGTCAAGTGTCTGCTGGGTGCACAGCGAGCGCACTAAGGAACACGGTACAGGGTAACCGCCCCGGGCCTTGAGGCAGGGATGCGCTGTTATCCCAGCATGTCCTGTGGGGATCACAGTGTAATTTAATCAGCACATCAGCGTGGTTGAACTCCGGGGTGGGGAAATAATGAAGTCGGCGCTTAGTGCTGGGAGTTCTCTGTTCAGCCTTGGGCGCAGCTGTGACCTGGATCTGGGCTCAGTTAGCTCGGCCGGGCCAGCCTATATGGTGTGACTGTCCCAGGCACTGTGGGCCAGTCAGTGAGTAGCATCACTGACCTCCCACCCATTAGGGCCAAGTGGTACCTTCCCCATTCCAGATATAAGGACACTATCTCCAGACACTGCCAGAAGTCCCCCGAGGGTCGGGGGGGGGGAGGGACTGCCCGTGTGACAAACCCACCACCCTAAATCTATTAGAAAGATGGGTCTGTGAACGTGAGCTAATTGCTTGAGTGTGTCACGGAAGGGAAAGTTAAGCGGAGAGAGGCTCAGCTGAGGTTTAGATCCCTGGAGGCTGAGGGTGGAGGATGGAGAGTCTGAGGCTAGCCTGGGACAGACAGACCAGGTCTCAAAGGAAGAAGAGAGGGGAAAAGGAGGAAAAGGAGAGAGAATTATTTAAGGCTTCATCATGTTCTGTAATAACCAATGGGAAGAGACAAAATAAATGGTCAATCAAAACATGGGTTTCCACTCATTGTGATTTAATAAACACAAATCAATAGCATTTGTGTATTTTATCATTTAACTGACGGACACAGACTTAGGCAGGACCAGCCAAGGCACAGCCACCAAGACTGATGACCCGAGTCCCATGCCAGAACCCACATGGTGGAAGGGAGCACCAACTTTCAAAGGTTTTCCTCCGACCTAAACCATGGTACATGTGTGCCCCCACCCGCCCCAAATAATGAAACGTGATTGAGTTTTTTAACGATTTATTTTTATCATTTGTGTGTGTGTGTCTGTGTGAACGGATGCCACATATTTCCGGTCCCTGTGAAGGCCAGAAGAGGTCATCACATCCCTTCGGTTATGAGTCCCCCAATGTGGAAGCTGAGAACTGAACCACGTCCCCTGGAAGAGCAGGAAGCATTCAACCATTGAGCCGATTTCCCCTGCCCCTTAAAAATCTTAAGTTTAAAAAAAAAATCCTCTTTGAAACCCAGAACTCCTTATTCAGCATGAGTTGATACACATGGGCTCAGGATTTTACAAATAAAATAAATAGAAATGGGAACACTGAACTCCTGTTAGCAAACAGCTTAAGAGATGACTGGTCCATGGCCGACCGGGGAATGGACAGACAGACACCTCCTGTACCTGTGGAGACATGGCTTGACCTGAACAGTGGTGCTCTGTACTAGCAAACCCACCCCCACGGAAAGACCCAGATGCCCTCAACAGGTCTCTAGCAGCCTCACACTGTGTGCGCGCAGGTCTGCAGACAATAAACCCACGAGCGCCGTTTCCAAGGGGGAAGCAGCTCTGGGCTTTGTGTTTTTGGTTTATTGACTTGTTTGGTTTTGCCTGAAAAGTCACAGAGGAAGCCAAAAAGAGCTGGTGGTTATCTTCGGGCTGTGTGATTTTTAGGTAATAATTTTTATCATTTGTATCGGGTCAAAAAAAAAAAAAAAACACCTCGGGACAAATGACTAACTATGGTGCCTATTAGCATACCAACGTGAATATTGCTCTCCAGGCTTCCTCAGTATCACTCCTTCCTGTGGCTCTTCTCAGTCAGCCCCCTCCCCTCAACTTCTCCAGCCTCTCATTCCTATATTAGGGATATATTTGGGCCATGAACTCCCGGCCCCTTCTCTCCCTCTTCTTCTCATGATCATGTTCAGTCCACTACTTTCTCTCCCTGCTCTGGACGCTCCCCGATGCCTCAGACTATACTCCCTATCATTAAAAACCTTCCCCTCAGCCACACCCTGGAATGGTCAGGTCCTCACTTTACAGTTAGCTTGTCCGGAATTAGCTAATTAAAAAATAATTTCCTAATGACTATAACGGATGCCTTCCTCATCCTTGCCCACCCCCTCATGCTGCTCCCTGAGGGCTACTGACATTGGCCTCTTAGGAGGCAGCATCTCTCACTCAAGAGGATACCTCAGGGCAAACTCGTACAGGTAAACATGTGACCCCGTTTTCCAAATAAAAGGCCCAAGACTCAAAGAAGGCCACACTGTTGAGAAACAGTGGTTCCAGGCTCCAGTCACATTCCTGTCCTGTCTGTGACGGAGAGGCTAGTTCATGATTTACCTCCAAATCCCTACGTTGGGAACATCTGGGCCTGGAATCCCAGCGTACCCGTTCCCCACTCCGCTCCCAGGAAGCCCTGCAGTTGGCCTTTGGGGTGTGTGAAGGGCTCCATCATGACCCTAGAAGGCCTCCTCTACTCCTACAGGAACCCAGGAGCTCACCCTTCCATCCTGGCTGTGGTGTAGAGCGGCACTGCTGGGGGGGGGGGGGCACATTCTCCTGCACCCCGTCTCAGAACCCTCTTGCTATTGTGTTTCTTCTCTCTGTGGTTACACATGTGGTATCCCAGCATCCTCAGCAAGAGACCTACCTGCCTGGCATCCCCTCACATTTAATAACATTAAACACCCAAGCTTGACGATGTTTGCACCTCCTCTCTTCCCCCAAGCCCCCAATAAGCTTCACTCGACTCGTGCACACAAAACTACAGCCTCTGATTCTAGGAGCCCCATCGAGAGAACTCAAAACCAAGCCTGCAAGGGAGGCGAGCTGGGGCCCTTCCCTGCCCAGTGCCACTCTTGTCTGAAGGAAGTACTGGGAATTTCTGAAGTAGCGTGTGTGTGTGTGTGTGTGTGTGTGTGTGTGTGTGTGTGTGTGTGTGTGTGTGTGCTGTGTTGTGTGTGTGCGAGCGGTGTTTGTGTGCATTCCCCTACTTGATTAAAACACAAAACCCACATTCTACAGTCAATTAAAAGTGACTTTGGCAGCCGGGCAGTGGTGGCGCACGCCTTTAATCCCAGCACTCAGGAGGCAGAGGCAGGCGGATCTCTGTGAGTTCCGAGGCCAGCCTGGGCTACGGAGTGAGATCCAGGACAGGCTCAAAAAAAAAAAAAGTGACTTTTGCATTACTGACTTGGTGTGGACGTAGACACCAGCTTCTCCTATCTCCTGTCTGGGATAGCTGAAAGCCATCCATTCTCGGGGTGGGGGGGGGATGGTATGGAGGTGCAGTGGAGGACACGTGGGCAGGGTTCAAGGTGAAGTTCTTGTGTGGGTTTAGATGACTGGAGGGGACTCGGGAGGACAAGCCACCTCTCGCTATTTCCCCATCTGCCGAGTGAGACACAAGCAAACTGGACCCTTGATCCCACCTGCTCGGGGACTATAAACTCGTGGCCTGTCCACAACATGCCGCCTTTCCGGTGCCGCGTCAGAGAGAACCGGCTACGGGCATGACGTTTACAAACTGTTTCACAGTCAACCTGGGTCGCCACTCTGGAGAGTGAAAACTAACTCAAGGGAGAGACCAACACCAATGCTGACCAAGGGTAGACTAGCATTAAAAGCCAGGTGAGAGCCGGGCGGTGGTGGCGCACGAGCCGGGCGGTGGTGGCGCACGAGCCGGGCGGTGGTGGCGCACGCCTTTAATCCCAGCACTCGGGAGGCAGAGCCAGGCGGATCTCTGTGAGTTCGAGGCCAGCCTGGACTACCAAGTGAGTTCCAGGAAAGGCGCAAAGCTACACAGAGAAACCCTGCCTCGAAAAACCAAAAAAAAAAAAAAAAAAAGCCAGGTGAGCCCGGCAGCTGGGGTACACCTATAATCCCAGCCCTTGGCAGGTACAGAGAGGGCAGTCAGGAGTTCAAGGCCGGTGTCAAATACATAGGGAGTTGGATGCCAGCCTGGGCAATGAGAAACCCTGTCTATATATATTTATAAACACCCCAGTTACCAGAAATAATGAGCAAGCCAGAACATTGCCAGAACATTCTAGGACGTGCCAGAATGTACAGGTGCACCTAGTTCTTCACTGAACTTTGAATCCACGCACTGAGAAGTCCAGAGCAAACGGAAGAGAAACACCAGGATCTAACACTGAAAATCGATTCCCTGGCCAGGGCCACGGCTCAGGAGCAGAAGGTTTGCCAGTCACACACAAAGTCCTGGGTTTGATCCCAGCATGGCAGCACAAACCATGAGAACAACTGACACCAGTCTGTCCTCCCTTCCGGAGAGGTGACAGAATACAATTCAGAAGTGAGCACGAAGAGGAAGCAGGAGGGAACTGAAGGAAATCCCATCCTGAAGGCAAACGTGGCTGGGAGACAAGGCTCCACGAAGCTGCTGAAATAAAATCTTGAGACTCATGTCTGATGCTAGGGCAACCCGAACCCAACCCACAGAACACCGTGGCCCACTGTGAGGGTCAGTGAAAGAAGTGTGCATTAACAGGTGGCCTAAAACCCAAGTTTCAGTTACTGCTGACAACCGCCCACCTCTGCAAGCATCGGACACTGACCTGCCTGCCTTCGGGACACTCTTCAGCATGGCTACCACATCCAGCTCCCACTGAGAGGGAAACTTTAGGCTGGAGTAAGAACTTAACAAGTGGGTTGCCTCTGGCACACAGCCAGGAACGGAGAGCAGTAAAGAATGAGCGGGTGGTATAAAGCACATTCACCAGGTCCCCAGCGGCTTCCGTGACAGACAAGGAAAAGGCTCCCCTGCCCTAAGGCTGAGGGGTTTCAACAGGGGCACAGTGACAGGAAACCCCACTGGGATAGTCATCCGGGGAATTCAGGCCTCCCGACTACCATTTCAGGTATATGAGCACACCACAAGGGCTCAATGGGGACCAGCGCCCCCGAGGCCCTACATACCCCTAGATGTTGGGATATGCACACAAGGCCTGCCGGTCCGATGTTGAAACAACCAAAAAATAGATCCGCACACCCACACTCCTGGAGACAACCTTGCATCTGGGTGCAGGGGTGATGTCACTTGCTGACAGTCAGGAATCAAGCACAGCAGTCACCTCCTCGAGCGCACCCAACTGGACAGGCAAAGGTGTCCTGCACGAAACACGGCACCTTCCACCGCTCTGAGAAGTCATTAAGTAACTACAACCTAGGATCAAGTGCCCAGCCCCTGACCAGCAGGCTCAGGGCCCTGTAAGGTGCCAGGGCCTCGTCTGGCCTGCTCTACAGGACAGCTCCGTCCATCTGCTCCAGCTGGCGGTGAGGGAGCCAGAGACACTCGATGCCACAAGACACGGTCAAGGCCAAGGATCCTTGTGTGCCTGCCTTTCTCCTTCGCTATCTCACGTGGACCAGTCTGGTTCTGGGTGTGTCTCTCCATCAGGCCTCACGCGGGGAAGAGTTCCGGCGGGCTCTCTCCATAGCAGTACTTGGCTATGGGGTCGCGGTACGTGTTCTCGTGCTGCACGCTCTGCTGGCGAAGGAAGACGGGAGAATGATGGAGAGGGTCGGCTTAAGGGACAGCCACACACTCCCTGCCCATTCCGCCTCCGGCACGCCTTGGGGTTTCAAGGAACTTTCTAGAATAAAGTTGGATTCTTAGCGCTGAGTCCCACACAAACAAGACAGGATACCACTGTGTCATTTCTTCTGTTGTCCACCGGGGAGCTTTTGAGCAACCCGGCTGCAAGCTGGGTATTTTGAGACTACTTCTCAATCCATCTGGAACGGGGCCTAGAGATATGGTGCAGCCGGAAGAGTCCCTGCCTAATATGCATGAGGCGCTGGGTTTGATCTGAAGCACCTCATAAAAATGGGTGGATCGGTGCCCATCGGTGATCCTGGCCTCGGGGGAATAGAAACTGGGGTCATTCTTAGCAGTACAGTGAACCTGAGACCAGCCTAGACACAGGAGTCTCAAACACCAAAACAAGGGCAAGGTGAGCTGGCTCAGGGGCTAACACAGACAGCGCTTGCCTCCGAGCCTGAGGACCTCGGTTTGAACTCTGGGACCCACATGGGAGAATGAGAAGCAGGCTGTCCTCTGACCCCCATGCACACGTGTTGATAACGCCCACACATGTACACAATAGTAAGTATGAAAAGAACGCACGAAGCAATCTGAAACGGATGGACACGTGGTGGGATCGACACCTGACCCCGTGGTCGGAGAGATCCAGTCCCTGGTAAGGAGTCCCGCAAGGGACTCAGGAGGTGACGCCACTTCAAACAGCAGACATGCACTAAGAGTCTGTGTGCGAGCCAAGCACCCTCCCCAAGAGCCTCTCTCTGGCTGGGCACAGCAAGTGAAGCTGAGCCCAGACAATCCCCCCCACACCATCGGTGGTAGACTTCCAGCAATTTCTTGTCGTATGAGCAATTTGAGGTTTTGGCTGCTCTAGAGCTCATTAATTAGCCTCTACCAAAGCTATGCACCTTGTTAATCCCACTCAACAGACTCGAAGCCCAGGCTCTGGGCACGCGAACCAAGCGGCCATTGAGAACCGTCTCCGCTTGTACAACAGTCGGTACCTTCCGGCTCTGTCGGCTACAGGAAGCTCCTAGAATATCAGTTCCCCTTTCCGGCGTTAGCCAGGAAGAGCAAGTGAATCTACTGAGTCCCCTTGCACTTCCCTTTACACCCGTTTACCTGGGAAGCTCCCCCACCAAGACCAGTGGAATTTCACATTCTCAGCGCTCCCTCTATCCTGACCCGGGATGTTCTCACAGTGGACTAGAGATGGAAAAGGGAATTACCAGGCACAAACCCAAAGCTTACAGAGGGCCAGAGACGGACACAGACGGTCAGTTATCCCAGAGGAGTGTGCTTGTGTAAGAGACATCTTACAAAGAGCAGTGACAGGTGCCCAGCCACAAAGGCAGGGAACTGGGGCGGGCGAGATGGCTCAGCAAGGAAAGGTGCTCGCCGCCGAGGCTGGTGACCTGAGTTTGAGTCTCAGGACCCACATGGTGTATGGAGAGAACTGACTCTCACGAGCTGTCCCCTGACTCGTATGCATGTGCCTCCCCAAGCCCAAAATGAACGTAGAAGGGGAAATACCCAAAGGTGGGGGCAGAGGCCTTCTGGGTCACTCCATGGGTGGCAGGTGCACATCAAGAGAGCGTCAAGGTTAGGTAGTGTGTGCTCACCAAGAGCCTTACAAACCTCAGACTGACCCATGTGCCTTTAAATACTCACCGCCTCCCCCTGCGTTCCAGAATCAATCCATAGCTCTGCCAAGGGACAAGGGACTGCCCTCTCAATGACCAGCTACTGGATCTAAATATTTCACCTACCCACCCCCAAGAACATGGTGTTGATGAAGCCCCTTCCTACCCTGGGTCTGTCCAGAGTGATCGGCTAGTGTCCTCCAGCTCTGCCTCCCTCCCTCCCTCCCTCCCTCCCACCTCCCCTAGCGAGGGCCAGCACCACTTCTGACCTGGGATGAAGTCCTGCACTTGGCCAAGCACAGTTCGAAGTGATCTTCAACCGCCATGAAGAGGTTCTGGAAGGCCACAGCCGCCCGGTTGAGGAAGCGCTCCAGTAGAAGTTGCTATGGAAACAAGGTATTCAGTCCTGGTAGTCACTGCAGGCCAAGCCAGCCCACCAGGAGGGACAGAGAGCGCCAGTCTCATTCACCAGATACCTGGTTAGCAATAGCATGGTCCTCTCTGCAAAGGAACCACGAGTCGGGGACCAGCTCCTCTCTCAGGAGTGGCCAGTGCACCCACAAAGCTCTTCTCAAGCACCCCAGGAGATGTCCAGCTCTCCCCCTTAAAGGCCTGGAAGACAAAGGGGGAGAGCTGGAGCCCTCACCTTGCTGGGCTGCAGACAACAGGAGACACAGTGCTCATAGGCTTCACAGCAGCCATTGGCCAGGCACCCGTCACAGCAGTACTGCTTGGTGCTGGGGACACTGACGTCACAGCAGCCATTGGCCAGCAGGTCCTTCCTCTCGCAGACATAGCCTGAAAGTCAGAGACGCATCCTGAGCACCAGGGCTGGCTTCATCCAGGCAGACGATTATGGGAAAGTCCGGCTCCTCCGTTATCACTCGATCCACATTGTCACCACGCTCAACCACTTTCCAGTCTCCTGCGTAAGTGTGAGCTCATCACCACGCCAAGCCAAGCCCATGCGGTTGGGTGCTAACATAAGCAAGCAATCTTTCACCTGGGCCTCTCTTAAAAAGTCTAAGGCAGGGCTGGGCGGTGGTGGCGCACGCCTTTAATCCCAGCACTTGGGAGGAAGAGGCAGGCAGATCTCTGTGAGTTCGAGGCCAGCCTGGTCTACAAAGCGAGTTCCAGGAAAGGCGCAAAGCTACACAGAGAAACCCTGTCTCGAAAAACCAAAAAAAAAAAAAAGTCTAAGACAGGGCTGGAGAAGATGCCGAGGTGAAGAGCGCTGGCTTCTCTTCCAGAGGTCCTGAGTTCAATTCCCAGCAACTACCTCTAGTGGGATCTGATGCCCTCTCCTGGCATAAAGGTATACATGCATCTAGAGCACTCATATACATAAAATAAATGAATATTTTTTTAAAGTTTAAGACAGAAACAGCAAGGCACCCATTTATAAAAAGCGTGTGCTTTGCTTCGTCCTAGAATTAGGGACGAAGTTCTCAGATCCTTGAGGAGAAGAAAAAACTTAATTCGTTCCACAACTGAGAAACCCCATCACAGAGATATGAATGTCCAGTGTCAGCCAGGCCTCCTTACTGAAACTGCTTTACTACCCAGAGCTTCTAGACAGACAGTTCCCTGCGTCCTTTGGGAACAGGACAGAAAAGTCTAAGTGTAAGTCATGAGAACCATCACCCAACCCCTGACATGCTCCCAGCGGCCATTCAGGCCTGAAGGAACATACGTACATATGCATACATATGCATACAAGTGCATGCAGGGACCCTCGGGTAGGTATGTGGGCTCTCAGGTGTAGGCAAGTGCCCTCTGGTGTGGGCAGGGGGCCTCTAATGTGTGTGTGTATGTGGGGGGCTTCAGGTATGTGCACAGGCCCTCAGGTGTGAGCAGGGGCCTCAGGTGTGTGCATGGGCCCTCAGGTGTGTGGGGGGGGGCCCTTAGGTATTCGTGTGGGTCCTCAGGCATGCATGGGGGCCCTCAGGTGTGTGCAGGGGCCCTCTGGTGTGTGTGTGGGCCCTCAGGTGTGTGTGTGGGCCCTCAGGTGTGTGCAGGGGCCCTCGGGTGTGTGCAGGGGCCCTCGGGTGTGTGCGTGGGGGCCCTCGGGTGTGTGTGTGGGGCCCTTAGGTATTCGTGTGGGTCCTCAGGCATGCGTGTGGGCCCTCAGGTGTGTGCAGGGGCCCTCGGGTGTGTGCGTGGGGGCCCTCGGGTGTGTGCGTGGGGGCCCTCGGGTGTGTGTGTGGGGGCCCTCAGGTGTGTGCAGGGGCCCTCTGGTGTGTGTGTGGGCCCTCAGGTGTGTGCAGGGGCCCTCGGGTGTGTGCGTGGGGGCCCTCGGGTGTGTGCAGGGGCCCTCAGGTGCGCAGCAGCTGTTCCGAGCACTAGCCCGTCTGAGCGCCCCAGCTCTGTCCTCAGAGAATGAGGCTGGTGGAGGATAACTTGTTTTCGGAACTGCTCTGGAAAACAAGGTCTGTGCACGAGCGGCTGGCGCTGGCAGAACACTGACACCAGAGGGGACACCAGAGGACTCTCACTCAACACTTGGGGACCGGGACAGAACCACTCCCACCACCTGGGAGCTGGCGGCCTCTGTTTTGTTTCTGCGACTGCGTCTCCTGAGTGAAGAGACAAGCACTCTGATGTCCCAGTAAACGCTTCCTTCCCAGCTGCCCCCACTCACGCTGTTGACAAGGATGCTAAACGGAATTCCCAGGGAGTCAGCACGTTCCCCAGGATTCCATCCCCGATGATAACAATAAAGCAACTCTCTGCATCACGGAGACGGACGATACTGTGCACCCCAAATGCAACCGGATGATACCACCTGCCCCCTTCCTTTGCCAAGCTGTACGTTCACATCCGAGGCCTTTTCTTCCCACTGCCAACTCCCAGCACTCGGCCTTGAACTCCAGTGCTCACCTCCCGATGACCAGGTCTAACTTCTGAGGAGAAGCAAGCTCACCCAGGCCTCTCACCGTGTATCAGAAATCATGAAAAAGTTACCTTTCCCTTTTCAAAGAGTTATTTTGATTTTTAATCATGTGTGTGTGCCCGCAGAGGCCAGAAGAGGGCGCTGGATCCCCGGGAGCCCGAGTCACAGGCAGCCAGTGAGCTGTCTTCCATGGATGTTCAGAATCAAACCCAGGCCCTAGTCAGTGCTCTTGACCACTGACCCACCTCTCCAGCCCCTCCTTTATTTTTAGTTGAAAACGAAAAAAAACAAAACAAAAAAAACCTACAAGAACCATACGGGGCACTGTGATGTTTCAATACGCGTATGTACTGTGTGGTGCTGATCAGATCTGCAGATATTATTTCCATCAAGTCCTGTGAGGCCAGGGCCAGCGAATGTGTTGGTCTTGACTGGGAAATTAGCATCCAGCTTCTGAAAAGTTGGGTGATTCTAATTGGCTATCTTGTTTAACAGCGCTGTTACCCTGGCGACATGGTGGCATCTCATTGCTAACCAGCATCAATGGCTGTGAGTTTTCTTTATTAAACCACGTTTCCCATATTTGCAAAGGCAAAATAAAACCTGTGTCCCCTGTGGGATTTTTTAAACGGGTTGAGAATCTGAGTGCTGGATTTTTTTTTTTTTTTCTCTTTAACTAAAGGAATCTGTGAGTCTTTGTCTGATCTAAATTAACCAGAAGAAAATTACTGTTTTTGTGGCTACAGTAAAAGAAAATGACAATCTGCCATCTGATACTAAAATTTCCTGTTTTCTGAGTCTATAGAAACAAGCCCTGGCCTCCAAGCCAGCCCCACCCATTATCTGACAGCTACCTGCATCTTCTTGGTGAAGTAACAGCCCGGTGCTCAGTTTCTCTTTTCTTATAAGGATACTTACGGGCCAGCAAGATGCTCTGCCAGTAAAAGGGCTTGTGGTAATCCCTGGGATCCACATTGTGAAGGGGGAAAAACAATCCGACCAATTAGCCTATGACCACTATATACACCATGTGGTGCACACACAGACACAGACACAATGACACGCACACGCACACGCACACGCACACGCACACTGAAAACAAACACAAGATGAGGAACCCCTGTGCCTGTGCCTGGTAGGAAGTGGCCCGGGACTGAGGCCAATGCTGGAGCTGTAGGCAGAGGGAACTGCTAGGAGTCTGGCTCCTCAGCCAAGCTTCCCAGATGCTGCAGGGAGCCTGGGATAGCGAGAAAGGTACGGAAGACAGACATGGGCACCCCTGGAGAGGACCAAGTGGGGGGAAAGCATTCATTGTGAGGGAAGGCTATCCGGAGTCCCAGGGCCTTGAGTGTAGGGGAGGGAGGCCGTACCCAGCTCGTCCGTGATGAGGTGTTTCCCTTGAACAGAGTTCCGGCACTGGTTGCTGGGCCGGCTGCTGTTGCCCAGGTTAAACTGGACCTTCCACGGAATGGGCTGTTCGCGGTCTTGAACCTGGAGAAGGTTCCGATCTCTCACCGCCCTCTCTTCCTGCAATGAGATCATGGGGGATAGGAAGGTTAAAGGCGGTTTTTCCTGCGATCTCACTTGCCTTGCAGGGGTCTACACCTCCATCTCCCCCGACTCCCCGCGCGCGCGCGCACACACACACACACACACACACACACACACACACACACACACACCCCTCCGGCACAGGCACCGTCTGAGCAAAGCCACAAAACAAGCCTGCAGGAAAATGTGACAAGCTAAAGTTATCCTCCCCAATGGCTGGGCTGCTGATGTGCAAGGCCCCAGAAGCAGACAAAAGTCTATGGAATTCTAGAAGGAAACTTCTCTCTCTGCAGGCAATTTAAGTTTTTAAATACTAGAATGCACACACCACGGGATAGAACACACGGCCCGAACACTTTCAGAACCAGGAGGAAACTATGTTAGTCTGATCATCTTACACTGTCACCCGACACCTCCAGACCATGAGGGGTCAGCTGGGACACGGAGAAAACCTGAATCGGGGGAAATGACTTTAAGGTCTCCCTTTGTGTGGAAACACAGACAGGTCATCCTTACAACTGCTTCTAGATGTCATTCTGGGTACACAGCCCTTTGCTTAACAAACCAAGAGAGGTGTGGCCCTGGGGTGAGAGCCTGGATCTTTCTCTTAAACTAGGAGGACAGAGCCCAGCTGCTGGGAATAAGCCAAGCACAGGGCAGCCACCTTTGGAACTGCCTAGCCATGAATGTATAACCAAACACCTCTAAAAAGACCCCCTCCTGTGCGCCTGTTTTGGTTTGTTGTTTTGTTTGTTTGTTTGGTTTGGTTTGGTTTTGGTTTTTCGAGTCAGGGTTTCTCTGTGTTGTTTTGGTGTCTGTCCTGGATCTCGCTCTGTAGACCAGGCTGGTCTTGAACTCACAGAGATCTGCTTGGCTCTGCCTCCTGAGTGCTGGGATTAAAGGCATGTGCCACCACAGCCCAGCCTGCTTTGGGTTTTAAGACAGAGCTTCTCATCCTACAGTTCAGGCTCGCCTGGAACTCATAGCAATCCTCCTGCCTCAGCTCCAGGTGCTGGGATTACAGGATTATGGTGTGCACCACCATGCCTGCTCTCTTGATGGCTTGAGTGTTTGAGCGCCAGGGTTGTTTATAACTAAGGAGACCCCCCCTGCACATCTGGTGGCATCACAGCCAGTTCAGAAAACCAGAAGGGATCTTTGTAATTACCGTGGGAGAGCAACCCGGGAGGTCGGCGATGTTAGAGATGCGCACGTCCACACACACCTTGCTCTAGGGAACTCCCTAGTGAGTGCCATCCTACAGAAACCACAGGCAGATGTTTCCCACCACCCTGCTGCAATCGCAGGACAAGAAAACAAATAAACCAGCAAAAACAGAAACCCAACAACACAGGAATGTCTGACTAAACACTGGCGTGGACACAATATTATCAAACCGAGGTTCTCAGGACAAATTACAAAGATCCGTTCTGGTTTTCTGAACTGTCTGTGATGCCACCAGATGCGCAGGGGTCTCCTTAGTTACAAACACTCAAGCCATCAAGAGAGCAGGCATGGTGGTGCACACCATAATCCTGTTCCTCCAGAGCGGCCCTTCCTACACTTCCTCTACTTGGGACCCCTGTGAGCTCTAGAAATGTTTACATGACCCTGGGTATTCGGGCAAATAAAGTAGGTATGTACGGGCTAGAGAGAGGGCTCATCCATTAAGAACACTGCCTGCTCTTCCAGAGGACCCAAGTTTGGTTCCCAGAACCAGCACTGAGTGGCTCACAACTGTCCATAACTCCGGCTCCAGGACCCTCTGACCTCTGTGGGTAGGTACCTGCACTTGTGTGCAGATACCCACACACAGACACACATGCACACGCACAATTTACAATTTAAAATGTTGTTTTAAAATTATCTTTAATCAGCCTTGGAAAAATCTTATTTTTCATCTAAAATGAAAATATGCTGTTAACTGTAGTAGAAACTAAATGAGAAACAATACCATCCTTGTACGTTTCCTGTTAAGCCGTCACTATTCCAAAAGGAAAGGGTCACTTAAAAAACAATGCTTACTAACATGAAATTCAGAAATTACCTAAATCCCAACACTTAAATCAAAGTACATTTGCTTTTTTGTTGTTGTTGTTTAGTTTGATTGGTTTTTTGTTTTTTGTTTTGGTCTTTCAAGACAGGGTTTCTCTGTGTAGCCTTGGCCGTCCCAGAACATGCTCTGTTCAAGACTGGCCTTGAACTCACAGAGATCCGCCTGCCTCTGCCTCCTGAGTGCTGGGATTAAAGGCGTGCGCCACCACTGCCAGGCAGGTACATTTGGTTGCTGCATGTTCACCTCTGACCCAGTTTACACTGGCATCACCGTCAGTTGTTCTGGATGCTAATTGGATGGTTAAAACATTTCCAAGGACCCACATCATCTAGATAATCAAATCTTCATGGATGCCCAATAATCCATCATGTTGGAGGGCCATCGTTCAGTGGACACAGCCTCCACAGACCAGCGACAACCCCGGTTTCTGCTCTCAGGAAGACACTGCAGTTCAATGGGGGGGGGGGGGGGGGGCTCTGAGAAAGCCCTGTGAATCGCTTACAGGGATGTGCACTAGACAGTGCCGTATAACCTCCCCAAAGTCTGATCCACCATCTGCAATAGCACCGGTATTGAAACAGACGAACTCTCTCCTACCACAATCAGGGCTGGATCCCCTCCTTCAGTCTGCTCGGTGTGAAACAGTCCCTCAAGATGGCTTCCCTGTGTCCGCCTCCTTTTTGTTCTTTTAAAAAGATGTGGCTAGCGGGCACAGGACAGGACAGGTGACAGCTCAGTAGCTGTAGTCCTCAGTTATATAGAGAGAGGGGCCGAGTGCAGGAACCCTGGGAGACAGGGACGCCCTTAGGTGCACCCTGTCGCTCAGGAGCAGACCCTCAGCTGACGACCGGAACAGCGCATCCCAGAAGAATCTCTGCCATAGGACCCCATGTCCCGTGGTCTCCCAGCACCTGAACTTGTCAAATATGGCCATTCAAAACCTCTGCCAAGAGGACTATGTGGGTGAGGAGTCGGCGGTGATCCACTTTTGAGGTCCGGTGGCAGAGCATGTGGAAGGGACAGAAGAGCAATTCTATCCAGGGGGGGGACTGGGCTTGCCAACAGAGTTCCCACTGCCCTTCCGGGCTGGCTCATCTTCAAGCCTCTCACCAATATGTGGAATTTTTTTTTTCACTCAAAGCTGCGCGTGGTGGCGCACACCTTTAATCTAGTGCTCAGGAGGCAGAGGCAGGCGGATCTCTGCCGGTTCAAAGCCAACCTGGTCTACGAAGAGACAATGCAGGACAGCAGGGCTACATAGAGAGACCCTGTCTCAGGCAACGACAATAAGAAACATCCATTCAAAGGGGATTTTTACCAAGTGCCACAGACACTTTCGTCAGGGGCTCCAAGGGGCTGTTGACAAAGGCTATGCTTGTGAATCAGAGCCCCCAAACCCCTAGAGATGTCAGATGTCCACACATGCACAGCAGAGGAAAGATGGGACCACACGTGGGCAGACACACAAGAGAATGTTATTTGTAAGTGGTGGAGCCTGCAGTTAACGCACATGACTTCTCAGACTTTTTAAAGCCTAAGTAGGAAGCATGCCATGTAGGTTTTAGGGGTAATTCTAACGGTCAAATGAAAGACATGTTCCACAGACATGGTACAGCACCGCCCTACACGGCATAGTTGACCTTAAGGGATCCGCGCAGGAGTCACAACAATGGAGGAGATATGGCTGGAGGGCAGTGCCCGCATCTGAAGTTTGAGAACTGCAGCCTGACAGTAGAGAATTATGATTGTAAAGAATCATAAAGAACTTTAAAAAAAAAAAGGGGGAATTTGTTTTTATTATTTGTGTGTGTGTATGGGGGATGGGTGTACATGGAAGCCAGAAGAGAGTGTCGAGTCCCATGGAACAGGAGTTAGCTGGGAACAGAACCCAGGTCCCCTGCAAGAGCAGCAAGCACTCTTAGCCATGGAGCCATCTTTCCAGTCCTGAGAGTTTTTAAAGATGGGGGAAGACTTGTATGTTAAGTGAGGAGATAGCACACCTCAAGAGAGAGAAGCAAAAACATTCGGTTAAAAGGACAGGAAGAAACAACGCCTGTATGTCACAGTGGCCCTTCTGCCAGTCACCCCTCCTACGCCCGCACCAAGCTCTGCCAAGTCTGCGGAGAACAAGTCTTCACTATTAACCAGTTTAAAAGGGGCGAGGCAGCTCTCTGTACTCACCCACACTTTATATAATGCCCATGTGGTGGTTTGAATGAGAATGGCCCCCAGAGGCTCATATCCTTGAATGCTTGGTCTGCAGCTGGTGGAACTGTTTGGGAAGGATTAGGAGGTGTGGCCTTGCTGGAGGAGGGGTGTCACTGGGGGTGGGGCTAGGAGGTTTCAAAAGCCCAAGTTAGCTCTCCGCCTTGTGGTGGTAGATCAAGATGTGAGCTCTCAGCTACTGCTCCAGCACCATGCCTGCCTGCCTGCTGCCATGCTCCCTGCTGTGATGGTCATGGACTCCAACCCTCTGAAACTGCAAGCCCCAAACAAACTCTTTAATACGTTGCCTTGGTCATGGTGTTTAATCACAGCAATAAAAGAGTACCGCAGGCCACGTCAGTGGACGTCAATCTACATAGTGCCACAAACTACGTGTACGCGGGCGCCAATCCACATAGTAACGTGGACAACGTAAGTGGGCGCCAATCCACATAGTAACGCAGACAACGTAAGTGGACGGCAATCCACATAGGTAATTCCTTCCCAGCAGAGAGGTTAATATGATTTCAAAGAGTTCAGCAGAGAGCCCAGCCCTGTGCCACCTAAGTCCAAGGAGAAACTTAGCTCTCACCTCAGGCCAGATGCCCCCAGAGCTGCCCAACCCTGTGCTAGTGTACCTACCATACACCCTAAATTTCTGTTTGAAGTCATCTGCCTACTCTCCCTCCCACTCCCACAGCAGATGGCAGGCACC